CTTTCGTCTGTAAGTCAACACAACTCGTTCTCATAAGTCTCGGTATTGAATCGTTCACATCCACTAAGTCATCATTTCTATTCACTTGCATGCTCCAAAACGGCCAGCCGGCGACGGTCTCGTTTTTGTTCTGACGAGGGGTAGCTGGGCGAGTAGATTGATTGATGTGCGTTGAGATGGATGGACGACTCGGCCTGACACTTATAATCTGTCATTCGACTGGAATCGACTCTTCCACCACACGCTCAAAGGTACCCCCCTCCCTAACCCCAAATATTGCACAAACGTGCTTTGATGCAACACTACAGCGGCACATTTTGCAGATGCACAAAACATAGGTTGGAAATGATGAATCAGGGGCGAGGGAAGGGGGGAATGGAGCAACGCCTTAAAGGTGGCATGGAGTTTCGAAAGCAAGACATGACTCGACTGATATATTGAGCAAATACACGTTTGAGATAGCGCTGGGAAACGGCCTTTGTACCTCAAAGAATTGTGCTTTTGACCCTGATTCGCGCCAAAAAATGAATATTGTAAATTACTGTTTGATTAGATTCTCAATGAGAAGAGTTTACGGTAATTGATATAAAGTCTCTCAAGCACATGTTTTCCTTTTTATAACAGTAATTTATGTATTGTAATGTTAATATCTTGTTACATACAATTGTTTTGTTTATTCAAATTTAAAAATCATTGCCAAAAATAGACAATTCTGTATTTGCTTAGGCACACGTAAAGTCATTTAGGAAAAATTTATTTGAAAGGAAGTTTAAGTATTCATTTTCAAATGGTAGGATAATGATGTAGTATTAATAAACCCTATAAGGCTTTGAAAGGTGCTTTTTAGAAAAAAATAGTAAGGAGAATTGTCAGCGGCGCTTGCGTGTCAAGGAGAGATTTTACTTTGAAATTATGCATTAAAAAAACTTCACAGTAATCAGTGTTCATTCAGCAGCTTTTTATCTGAGAGACTTCTGGATTAGTAATGCATAGAATTGAATAATGTCTGAGAGTAATGTGATATAATAGTATAATAGGATATAAAATTGATAATTTCCTTTTTTAGCTGATCTTTGATTTCCTACTTTAGAGGGTCTTAATCATACGGCCATTTAGTTTTACAAGCGCTGATGAACGCTCAACGGTGCGCAGACTGGATTTGACTCCGTAATTTCTCAAATTTTCCAATGTAAAATCTCTTCGTTGTTACAATTAAGGAATGAGGACTT